AAAAAAAAAAAAAAAAAGACCTCATGTGAGGTCACCTACAGTGCTCAGTAAAGTGGGAAACAGCCAGGTCAGAAAGTTCTCACCCCCTGCTTTCTATCCCAGACCTCAGTGATCCTCATGGAGGCAATATGTCCAAATAGAGTGACATAATTAAGAAAAGTCTTTGGAAGATTTTAGCCAACTCACCTATGTAATCTGGGTATGTTCCATAGGCAAACAGATTCAGCAACTGCAAATATGCAGCATTAGCTCCTTCTGCAAGCTGAGGAGGGAAAAAAATAAATCAAACAGTTCATGGACCAAGCTGTCTACCAATCACTGCAGTGTTCAAGCAAAGGGTGATGATCATGTGCCACAGCTGACTGTTTTACTAGATGGTCCCTGAGGTCCCTTCCAACTCTGATTCTTTGGGAAAAAAATAAATAAGATTTATTTAATTTTAAATTTAATTTTTCTCTCTCAGGAATACACATTTTACACTCCACATAGCATGCCTAAGCAACTGCTTTTGTCACACACACACACAGCAGTAAGTATTGGGAGCAGTTCAGGTTTTCTTAGAATTTCCTTGCCATTGGGACGCCTGGGTGGCTCAGTTGGTTAAGTGTCTGCCTTCAGCTCAGGTCATGATCCCAAGGTCCCGGGATCAAGTCTCACGTTGGGCTCCTTGCTCAGCGGGAAGCCTGCTTCTCCCTCTGCCCACCGCTCCCCCTGATTGTGCGCTCTCTCTCTCACAAATAAATAAAATCTTAAAAAAAAAAAAAAAAAAAAGAGCTTCCTTCCCATTAAGACAAAGACTGGAGGGGTACCTAGGTGGCTCATTAGGTTAAGCATCTGACTCTTGATTTCAGCTCAGGTCATGATCTCAGGGACCTGGGATCAAGCCCCACATCGGACTCCATGCTCAGCGGGGAGTCTGCTTGAGGATTCTCTCTCCCTCTGCCCTTCCCCCTAAAATAAATAAGTCTTAAAAAAACACACACACACGGGGCACCTGGGTGGCTCAGTCGGCTAAGCATCTGCCTTCAGCTCAGGTCATGATCCCAGGGTCCTGGGATTGAGCCCCGCATCGGACTCCCTGCTCAGCGGGAGCCTGCTTCTCCCTCTCCTGCTCCCCCTGCTTGTGTTCCCTCTCTCCCTGTGTCTCTCACTGTCAAATAAATAAATAAAATATTTAAAAAAACACACACACACACAACAAAAAAACGAGGACTGGAGCAGCCTTGTCTACACACCGGGTTGGCAGGTATAACACAAGCCACTATCAGTCCAAACTGAATAAAGTGTAGGGTAGGTTCCAAGTTTCAGCACTACATAAATAGTATGAGCGCTGGGAGAGATTAGCACAGCATAAAGTGTGACAGAACAGCCCACATGGGACTGGGAACTACAATATCAGGCAGTCCCAAATAAAAATGTTCATTAAAATTACTTATTCCTTAAAAAAAAAAAATTACTTATTCCTCACTGATGTGGATGGCAAAGAGCCATCTGTAGAAGTAAAACAAAAAGAGATACTGTTCTGCCTGGAACTTCTCTGCTCTGTTGTCAGTTAACTGGGTGTTTCTTTTACTCACAATTTTGTACCCATTACTCTTCCAATTTATCAAACTCCATAAAGTAGTATTACCCAAGCAGTATTCTGTGGATGCCGATAGTAATACTACTTAATTTAAACCATCTTTTATTTTTTTAATTTTTTTATTAACATAATATATTACTTGTTTCAGGAGTACAAGTCTGTGATTCATCAGTCTTACACAACGCACAGCGCTCACCATAGGACAAACCCTCCCCAATGTCCATCACCCAGCCACCCCATCCCTCCCACCCCCCTCCACTCCAGCAACCCTCAGTTTGTTTCCTGAGATTAGGAGTCTCTTATGGTTTGTTTCCCTCTCTCTAAACCATCTTTTAAAAAGAAGTTTCCAAGGGCCACCTGGGTGGCTCAGGTGGTTAAGCATCTGACTCTTGATTTCAGCTCAGGTCATGATCTCACGGTCATGAGATCGAGCCCCACATCAGGCTCCACACTGGAATAGAGCCTGCTTAAGATTCTATCCCTCTCAGGGGGTGGGAGGATGGGTTAGCCTGGTGATGGGTATTAAAGAGGGCACGTTCTGCATGAAGCACTGGGTGTTATGCACAACTAATGAATCATGGAACACTACATCAAAAACTAATTATGTAATGTATGGTGATTAACATAACAATAAATTTTTAATTTAGTGTGTTATTAACATAACAATAAAAAAATTTAAAAAAAGATTCTTTCCCTCTCCCCCCGCCCAAACCCCCCCGCTCTCTCTTTAAAATAAATAAATAAATCTTTAAAAAAAAAACTGTTTCCAGGAACTACATCTATCATTTCAGACCATTGAAAAGCAACTAGGGTTCCCAGCTCACACATGGAAAAAAACAAACCTGGGGAGATAGAGGTGATTTACTCAGCACCCCCACGAGAACTCTGGCTTCCTATTAACCCAGTCTACCTTCTCAGGTTATCAAGAACCTCTTGAGGTCCTAAAACAGACAAGGAAGAGACCATCAAATCTAGTCCCCACTTTTCAGACAGATGATTACAAAATTAAGCCTAAAAGACTATTTTCTTTAGAGCAGATACTCTAAAATTTCTCCCACTGGCCTAAATCAATGTCTTCCTCATTTTAATTTTCATCCATCTCCTCTCAGCCTATCTTCCATAGTTATGAAACAACCACTTGGCATATTCATTCAGGCTCTTCAGGAAACTGAAGGAACATATTACCCCTTTGTCATCTCTTCTGTCGAAAAAATGATGAACTATCAAGCCATAAAAAGACATGGAGGAAATTTAAATGCATATCACTAAGTAAAAGAAGCCAATCTGAAATGGCTACATACTGTACAATTCCAACTATATGACGTTCTGGAAAAGTCAAAACTAGGAAGAAGGTAGAAAGATCAATGGTTGCCAGGGATTAAGAGGGGAAGGAGGGATGAATAGGTGGAACACAGGATTTTTAGGGCAGTGAAGCTACTCTATATGATACTGTGATGGAGAACAATGTCATTGTACATTTATCCACACCCACAGAATGTACCACACCACGAGTGACCCCTAATGTAAATTATGTCTTTGGGTGATAATGATGTGTCAGTGTAGGTTCCACATTGGAGGGGGATACTGGTAATGGGGGAGGCTATCCATGTATGAGGGCAGGGATATATTGGAAATCTCTGTACTTTCCTCTCAGTTTTGCTATGAATCTAAAACTGCTCTAAAAAGATAAAACCTATTTTAAAAAACCTAGTTTTGGGGTTTTTTTTAGATTTTATTTATTTATTTGAGCGAGAGAAAGAGAGAGAGAGCACAAGACGGGGGAGAGTCAGAGGGAGAAGCAGACACCCCACTGAGCAGGGAGCCTGATGCGGGACTCAATCCCAGGACTCCAGGATCATGACCTGAGCCGAACGCAGTCGCGTAACCGACTGAGCCACCCAGGTGCCCAAAATAAACCTAGTTTTTAAAAATTTTTCCTCTCCCCGCTCAGCGGGAAGCCTGCTTCTCCCTCTCTCATTCCCCCTGCTTGTGTTCCCTCTCTTGCTATATCTCTCTGTCAAATAAATAAAATCTTTAAAAATTTAAAAATTAAAAACAAAAATAAAAATTTTTCCTCACAGGATTCCTTTTACATCTCTGGTAAATTTTTACTAAAAGCCTACTGTGTGTCAGACTACATATTAAGTGCTAAGGAAACAATGGGAAGCACAACAGACCTTACCCTTACAGAGCTTAGTCTAGCAAGCAAAGCTGGCATTAAATAAAAATTCATGGGGTGCCTGGGTGGCTCAGTCGGTTAAGCATCCGACTCTTGATTTTGGCTCAGGTCACGATCTCAGGGTTGTGAGATCGAGCCCTACATCAGGCTCCACACTGGGTGTGGAGCCTGCTTAAGATTCTCTCCCCAACGCCCTCTTAAAAAAAAAAAAAAAAATCACAATTAAAATGTAAAAGTGGCTCTTTCTGTCTCCGTTTATCACAGGAAGACAAGATGATGCCAGGTCCATACATCAGCAATAGAGGGTCATGGGGAACTGCTTCAGTTTCCTAATCAAGAGGAATAAGAAGATGTGCAGCAGCAGTCCCATAACCCGAAGGCCCACACCTCTGCCACAAGGGGCTGATTCACCACAAGGCTGTGGACATGGAGCCAGCAACTGATGGCAAAGGTGTCCAACGGTCATGAAGTGAAGAACCAGCCAGCAAAAGCCAGCCACTTCCTACATGTGGACCACCGTCGACACAAATGTCCAGGTAGCATGGTGCACACAATCCACGAGAACAAGCACCACACTGATCTGTGCATGGCGGCCACCCCCAGAGCTAGCGCCATCCTGGGCAGCCAGAGAGAAGCTGTGACGGTAAAGAGGAAGCTGACCCACTCTTTAAGAGCTTCTGAGCACAACCCCCAAAGCAATAAAGATGTTGCCAGACTTTTCAATCAATCAAACAATCAACATAAAAGTATCAGTCAATAAATGTAAAAGTATCCAAAGTGAGATGCAGAAGTTGAAAAGTATAGGTTGCTCTACATCTCTTTGTTCTACCAGGTCATTCTTCACCAATCTTCTCATTTTTAAGGCACAACAACCACAACTAGATACCCAAAGTTTCAATAACAGCAATCACAAATAGAAGCAAACAAAGCAAAAAGGACTACTTCCTAGCTTTTCATGTCCAATTTTTTTACACATCCACTTAGCGTAACATTGCCATTTTCAACAGGCCCAGCTCATGTTCAATAGCAACATTTTCTGCTTGGTATGTACCTGACCAATCTGTCTTGTCTATATTTGCGCTGGAGGTTTTTTGGTCCTTGCAAATGCCTGAAAGTACCTCTGTTCAACACCAGCTAGGCTTATACTCTACTTTTCTTATTTATCAGATTCAAGTGGATTTTTCCCCTATCTTTCAAATTATTAGTAACCCAATCTAATTCTACCCCAAGTTGAGATTAAAATATTGACCAAAAGGAGCCCAAAACATCATCTTTGCTCTCCTTCTCTCTTCCCCCCCAATTCCCATCCTCCCCTCAACAGCACCCCCTCACAGGTCCACAATGCTTCAGCACTGAAATTCCTTGGGAACCTGGAGAATCACGGGAAGGTTTAGAACAAAGAAGACAGAGAAATTGGAAACTGCTCTTACCTCCTGCACGTTGGCCAGCTCCAGCAGTTCTCCAAAGACATATACTCCAGGAGCCTCCAACACCTGGCTTATGAGAGCAGTAAGGGCTGAGCCACTGGTACCTTTGGCTAGTAAAATAAACTGTTCCAGGAGGTTACTTGAGGGTTTCTGTTCACCTGCCATTCTCTGGCCTTGAGATCTGTCCAAAAGAAAAGTGTTTCAACGATTCTTCCTTCTCCTTTGCAGAGTCTATGCTTATTTATTGCCAGATCAGACATCAGAATACTTCAATTTGATAGTATCCAAAAAAGAAAAACAGTCCAGATGCTATGACCACTTTGTGAGATGGGCAGGGTTCCACCTAAAGTTAAAGGGATTGTATCCTTGCTCAGAAGTTTGAAACACACTTAGGAAAAGCCACTTCATCCCCATGTGGCCGTCTTCCAACAGCAGCACCTTCTAAGCCCTTAAACCCGACCAGATCCAAGGAAACACCCAGGAGTTTCTCAATAGCTGCTTTATATCTACCTCATTTATAGACTGTAATTAAGAAACAGAGAATTTTGCCCATACACAGAGGCAGAAGATGTAAGCAAAAGCAATCAGTTACAGCTTACAGTGTGTCATTAGAATCCCACCCACACATACAGATAAGGAAAACCACCAAAAGCAGACAAGAAAGATGTCTCATTTAATCAAAGAAGTCACTTGAGCCTAAGAAAAGGGGGAATCATAATGAAAGATAATCAACATATTCAAACTAAGAAAATACGTGCTGTGTAAGTCCTTGAGGAAAATCTATTTGACCTCCTAATGCTATGTGATTTTACCGAACATGATTTCAGAATTTGTACGAAATCTCAAGAAAATAATAAAAGGATTTGACAAAACAATGAAGATACTGTATTGCCATCCTGAAGACATTAGGGGCCGAGGGTCCCTCAACTGTTAATCCAATTACACGCTGACTAAATGGGAACACACACTGCATACCTACTCTGCAGGAATCCTGTGTAAGAAAAGACTACTCCACCAAGAACGACACATTTGGGGGCAGTGTTACAAAAAGAAGAAGAGGTAAAGTGAAGAAAAGAATAATTCAAACGATAGTTTGGTGCAAGAGAAACCAAGTTTTCCTGTGGAGGCAGGCATATAGAGCAGCAGTCCTTTCACAGTATGAGAGAAACAAGCATGTCGCCTGACTTGGGGTTACCTAAGAACGTCTTGTCCGAAACAGAAAAAGTGAAGTGCTAGGGAAGAAAAGTTGCTGAGGAAGGAAGGGGAGCGATGGGGTAAGGTGAGAGAAGGCGGGAGAGAGGTGATGGAACGAAAACCTCCCTTCCAAGCGCACACGTGTGGAGACTGAATGGAGGGACCTGGGGTGGAGAGGGGAGAAATGAACAGAAACTTCGGTCCCTCAAAAAAATCTTGACCTAAGGCGCCAAGCCTGTAGGCGCAAAGAGGTAAGGAGGCATTGAGAGTCGCTTTTTTCTGAAGTGGAAGGGCCGGAGGAAGCGGCCAGGGACATAGGAGAGAAGAATTCGCGTCGTGCGGGGGCGCTATTTTGATGCACAGTAGAGGGGCAAAGAGGCAGCCTTTGGGGACGGGGAAGCGATGACGGCCTCGGTTGAGGAACTGAGGGTTGCAGGCTGGGGTGGACTTCAAGGCGGGCGGCGTGCTCCAGGCAGGGCCGCGGGTGGGGAGCGAGGAGCCGCGGGGCGCGCTCCCCGGGGCGGGGCCGGCGCGGTGTGGCCGCGGGCTTTCCTGGGGACTGGCGCTAAGCCAGACGGCTGGGACAAGCCTGGCGCGCCGGGCCCCGCCCTCTCGCCGGCACCTACCTGCCCTCGCCGTCTCTCCGTCCTCTCGGTCGCTGGCTCGGCCTCCCGGCGCCTGTCCGCAGGTTGTCAAGCGTCCATGATCGGCCCGGCGTCCGACGCTTTTCTGCCTCCGCCGACCCGTTGCCCTTGCGGCTCCCCCGGAAGCCTCCCGCCGCTGCACTCGAGTTCCGCCCACACTAGGTTCCCCCCGCGGCGTTGGCAGCCTCAGACCTCCAGTGCGGCCTGGGCTTGGGAGAGACGGTTCGAGGTGGGTCGTAGCCCAGGAGCGGGGTGGAGAGGAGCCTGAAGAGAGGAATGCAGTCCAGGCAGTGCTGGGGCCCAAACCATCGCCATCGCCATCACCATCACCATCCTGGGCTCGAATTCACCGCTTTGGCCGAGCCTTACTCTTCAGGAGCTCCCTACGGCAGCTGCGGCTACCCCGGGATACAAAGACATATTAAGTGTAATAACAACTCCCGTTTATTGAGAGTTTTCCCATGTGCCAGATGTGTACATTGTCTAGTTGAATTACCATAACTCTAAGCTTAAAAATCCAAAAGCTAGTTAAGTGGCAAGGTCGTCTTTGGACCCCAGGCTATGGGAAGCCAAAGACCATATTCGTGACCTCTGTTCAGAAAACATTTTTAAAATAGGGGCACCTGGTGGCTCAGTTGGTTAAGCGTCTGCCTTCGGCTTGGGTCATGATCCCAGGCTCCTAGGATAGGATCGAGCCCCACGTCGAGCTCCCTGCTCAGCGGGGCGTCTTCTTCTCTCTCTCCCGCTCCCCCTGCTTGTGCTCTCTCTCTCTCTCTCTCAAATAAATAAAATCTTAAAAAAAAAAAAAGTTTTAAAATAAGCAAGAGATGGGTTGAGCCAACAATGGCTCTGTGAGCAAAACGACAAAAGTAGTGTGGCATTTGGTACTTAGCAACTCTCCTGGAAGATGGCTAAGGAATGCTACACAGCTTAACACTTAAGCTGGTTCCTTTAAAGTACACACCACAGACTTTCGGGTCTTGAAGACAAGGAAAAGAACCCTATTTGCTTTTGGTGAATCATAGTGCAGAAGTCAGACAAATGCAAAGGAGCCTAGCAGCAACCCACTGATTTATTCAAAAAATGTTTTGTTCTAATCTCTGTGTTCTAGAAGGTTATATAAAGAGAAGACAAGGTTCTTGCCCTCAAAAAGTTTCAATGTGGGGGTGCCTGGCTGGTTCAGTTGGTAGAGCATGAGATTTTCAATCTCCAGTTGTGAGCTCAAGCCCCACATTGGGTATGGAGCTTACTTAAAAAAAGGGGGAAAAAAAGCTTTAATGTTTTAAGTGCTATGAGGGAGATATGACAATACTTTGGAAGCACAGAAGAGAGTATGTATGTTGGTTAAGAGAAAACAGGCATCTTCTGAGCAAAAAAGGGGGGGGGAAGGCAGCAGATCATAGTCACAGAGGCTTGCTCTGTGTAGCATATACTAATGCAAAAAAGAAACCCAGAGTGTCTGAAACCCAAGGTTCAAGGATGAGAAGTGAGGGCTACAGACCTGGAGTCAGGACATCAAGGGTCTTATAAACCACATGCAAAGCAGTATACCAGGTAAAAGCCTTAATACAGCAAAGTTCCTACCTGGGAGAGCCCACAGCCTGTGAGAGAGACAGACCTCTGGCTATGACAGACAGTTGCCACAGGCACCCTAGTGCTACAGATAAGGCTCTCCTGCCTGTGCTCTGGGGAGAGGTGATTTAAGGCACGGTTCTGGAGATCAGGCTTGAGTTGAGCGTAGAAGAATGAGTAAGCAAATCACAAAAAGTGTAAGCATGCAAAGGAGTTTTTATTTTATCTTAAGGGCATTGGGGAGTTACTTGGGGCTTTTGACCTGTGGAGAAGTGTGAATAATTGACACTTTAGAATGATCACACTAGCTGCTATAGGAATGGATTAGATATGGAGAGAGCTGGAGGCAGGGAAACTTTTTTTTTTTTAAAGATTTTTTTTTTTTTTTTTGTATTTGATAGAGAGAGACACAGTGAGAGAGGGAACACAAGCAGGGGGAGCAGGAGAGGGAGAAGCAGGCCTCCCGCGGAGCAGGGAGCCCGACATGGGGATCGATCCCAGGACCCCAGGATCACGACCTGAGCCGAAGGCAGACGCCTAACGACTGAGCCACCCAGGCGCCCCGAGGCAGGGAAACTCTTGAGGTGATTGATATAGTATAGATAAGGGACTGTGAGATCCTGAACAAAGGCAGTAGCAGTTGGCATGAAAAAGAAAGGACATTGTTGGAGGCATTTAGACTATAGAATCTGCCCGACTTGGTGACCAGCTGAAGGCAGGGATAGGGAAGGAGGATATCACCCAGGATTCTGGCTACGTAGGCCAGAGCTGTCTTGGAGGTGGTGTTAAGTGAATGGGGCTGCAGAGGAGAAAAAGCAAATTTGGCGGTGGAGGGAAGACAACTAAGTTCTGTTTGAGTTCATATATATTCTGGCAGTACCTCTACTTCCTCCAGAATAATGTCCAGACTCCAAGGCCGCAGTGAAAACCCTTCTCAGGATGCTCCCCTCCAATCTTTCCAGCTTTGTCTCGCCCCACCCTCTTAAAGCCCAAACTCTAGGCCTTCCCATGCCCAACACAACTTATACCTTCCCTCTCTAACACCAGGGCCTATGCTCAAGCTTGCTCTCTCTTCTTTTTTGCAATGAATGCTCTTCCCTCCTATTTGTCTGTTAAAATCCTACCAACCCTGTAGGCAAAGATTTCTTAACGCAAAAAAGCACTAATCATAAAAGAAAACACTGAACTATCGTACTACATTAAAATTAAGAATTTCTTGGGGCACCTGGGTGGCTCAGTTGGTTAAGCGGTCCTGGAATCTAGCCAAGCATCGAGCCCCGCATCGGGCTCTGCATCAGGCTCTCTGCTCTGCGGGGATCCTGCTTCTCCCTCTTCCTCTGTCCTTCCTCCAGCTTGTGCTCTCTCACTCGCTCACTCTGTTTCTCAAATAAATAAATAATCTTTAAAAAAAAAAAAATTAAGAATTTCTGTTTATCAAAGACACCAGGGCGAGACTAAAAAGGCAAGCCACAGACTTGGGAAAGATATTTGTGAAGCCTGTATCAAAGAACTCCATATCCAGGGCGCCTGGGTGGCTCAGTTGGTTAAGCGACTGCCTTCGGCTCAGGTCATGATCCTGGAGTCCCGGGATCGAGTCCCACATCGGGCTCCCTGCTCAGCGGGGAGTCTGCTTCTCCCTCTGACCCTCTTCCCTCTCGTGCTATCTCTCATTCTCTCTCTCTCAAATAAATAAATAAAATCTTTAAAAAAAAAAAAAAAAGAACTCCATATCCAAACTTTATAAAGAACTACAAATCAGTAAGAATAAGAAGACAAAAAGCCTAACTTAAAAAGTGGGCAAAAGACTTGAAAAAGCACTTAGAAAAGAGAACACTGAAATAGTCAAAAAGCATATGAAAAGGTGCTCAACACCAGAGACAATGTAAGAAAAAACGATTAATAAGATACCACATTTAGGGGCGCCTGGGTGGCTCAGTCGTTAAGCGTCTGCCCCCGATGCGGGGCTCGATCCCAGGACCCTGGGATCACGACCGAGCTCTGCCCTGCTTCTCCCTCTCCCACTCCCCCTGCTTGTGTTCCTGCTCTCGTTGTCTCTCTGTCAAATAAATTAATAAAATCTTTAAAAAAAAAGATACCACATTTAGCCAAAATACCTAAGTTATAAAGACTTGTAAGACCCTGTTTTGACAAGGATAAAAGTCAACTAGAATTTTCTTACATTGCTGGTGAAGGCAAAAGTGATACAAACACTTCGGAAAACTGGCAAAAACTACTACTGTTGCTGATCATATGCATACTGTATAAGCCAGCTACTCCTCTCCTAGAAATGAGTGCAGAGTCTGCAAAAAGAAACCTATAAGAATGCGCATTGCAGCTTTGTTAACAAAAGCCCAAAACTGATAACTGATACCCTATATACCCATCAACAAAATAGACAGAATAGACAAATATTGCTAGATACATACAATGGAATACTAGTCAGCAATTAAAAAAAAAGTTACTGCTACATACATCATGGATGAATCTCACAAAAATAATTAACGAAAAAAGCCAGACTCCTACTGTACATACTGTATGATTACATTTAAATGAAATTCACGACAAAACTGATTTATGGTAATAGAAGCCAGAAGAGTGGTTGTCGGGATGGGAGGATGCAGTGCCAATTGGGAAGGGGCATAGGGATGCTGGAAATGTTCTATATCTTGATTTGGGGGGTGGGGTGGTGACAGAGGTGTATACATATATAAAAACAGTGCCCTTCCTGCATATATCATACCTCATTAACAAAAAAATTTCAAGATAAATTTTTTTAACAGAAAAAAAAAAATCCACCCATCCTTCAAATTCAAATGCCACCTCCTCCATCAGTTTTGCCAGCTGGAATTAATCTTTCCATCAGAACCTCTGTGACATTCTGATGACCTTTCCCTTATGACATTTACTGCAGCTCATCTTGAATCTCAGCAGTCTCCTTTCTTTCCTGACTAGATGGTTATCTTCCTGGAGGCTGTGACAATGCCTTTCACCCTTTACCGGTAACCTGAAAAGGCTCTTTGTTGAATTACAATGGAAGGAAAAATTGGGTGGGTGCCTAGATGGGTGAAAGGGGGACGGGAAGAGGAAGGAAGGCCTAGGGAAAGAGATAGTACATGTCCAAGGAAACCTTAGCTTACACAATTTTACCTAGTTCCTAAAATCACATTACGTATCACCTTAAGCAACGAACAAAGAACAAATCAAACCACTAAGTCCTTCCTAGACTGAAGATAAACAAACATCACACTCCTTCTCTAACAGGAAATCCACCAAATGAATGCTTGCCTAACCTCTAGGTGTTTCAACCTAGATGGGGAAACTTCACCAAGGAGAATAATAATCACATAGCCATGTTGCTAAAAATATCGCCACCTTAGTGTGGTGTAAACAACGCAGAATGCGGGTCAGGAGACTTAGAGCCGAATTCTAACTCGGTCCCAAGTTGCTGTAACCGGTGGACAATCTCTTCACCTCTCTGGGCCTCAGTTTCCTCGTATGTAAAACAAGAGGAGTTGGATTGGCAAATTCTCTTAATATCCCTTCCGGTATGGATATTCTGAGTATACAATCGATATCCTTCCCAGTCCAACGCAGGAGCACACCAGAAACCCCTGCAAAACAAGTAAAAGGCCCCCCCAGACCAACAGACAAGCACGATTTGAAGGAGTCATTTTGTCATATTATCTTCCGTGGTTTAATCAGTGTTTTGTTTGTTGTTTGCAGCCTTACCATGATTTGCAGGAGATTTCTGAGTTCCATGTAAACAGAGGTTACCTCTCTCTGGGCTGTCATCCTCCTCTGAGAGTTAAGGGGGTCTTCCCGCACAGTTTCAAGTCTCCGAATTCAGAAACCCCAAAGCTGAAGGAGGGTTTATGAATTTGCGCACACTGCGCGGCACACTGGAGTCTAAGTTACAGAAGAACAGAGTGCAGGGAATGCTGGGATTTGTAGTCCCTGGGCCTCTTTGTTGCGTGCTGGGATCTGTGGTTCCCCCGGGCACTCCCCCTGGAATGCTGGGAAACGTAGTTCCTCTCACATCGCACAGTGCAACCCGCCGTCATCTCAGAGCCCTAGTGTGCCCTGCGGAGGGAGCGGGCCCCTCGAGCCTCTGCAGATTTGAAGCCAACCCTCCGCTGGGGCAAACTCTAGGCAACAAGACCTAAAGAAAAATTTGTCCTACGGGACTTCCCGGGGAGGGCCCTTCCCACTGACGCTCGTCGTCCCCCCCGGCGAAGCCGCTAAGTGCTTCTATTGGCTGACCAGGATGCCAATCGGCGAGGCGGGCTTTCCATTGGCTTTGGGGCGGGCGCTCCGAGACTAGGGGGAAGGAGAAGGGATCAGGAGCGGGAGCTGAGGGGAGGGAGAGGCCGGTCCGGGTCTGGCCGCGGCAGCTGCTCGCCTGAGGTCTCCAGGCCGGGCTGCGGTTCCGTCCTCCGTTCCTGGGCACCGTCTGCGAAGCTCCGCCGCGCCAGCGTGGGAGAGCCGCAGGCGGCGACCGCCGCATCATGTCAGCCAAGGACGAGCGGGCCAGGGAGATCCTGAGGGGCTTCAAACTGTATCCGCCAGGGAGCGGGGCGGGGCCGGGAGGACTTGGGAGGCGGCAGCTCGCTGAGGAGACGGGCCGGGGGGGGCGGGGTGGGGACGGGGGCCGCGCCAGGTGGGCACCGGACGGGATCTCGGCGGGCGGGGACGGAGGGAACGGCGTGGCCGGGCACTGGAGGTTGGGCAAGGGGCGTCCTGAGGGAGGACGGGGACGTTGTCGGGAGCCCCCGGAGCTGGAGGCGGAGGAGCCCCGGACGAAATTGGGCTGGGAGAAGCGCCGGGCGTCGGAAACGGGTATCGGGGAGGCAGGCTTGGGTCCGAGCCTCGGCCCGTACCCAGAGGCCGGGAAGGGGCTGCGGCCCACAGGGAAGGACCGAGGGGGCGCGGTGAGCTGGCCTTGAAGCCCAGCAGCCCGTTTGGCGGGAAGCCCCCGGGGGAGCAGGAGAAAGTGACTCGGAGCGAGTGACCTTGTGTGGGACAAAAGCAAATGCTTGTGCTAAACTCTCCCGGGTTCCCCCATCCCACCCCACCCCCGCCTTGTTTCCACAACTTCTCTGCCTCACTTGTGGCTCCTTCCAGGGCTGGAGCAGAGGAAGGTGGGCGAAGAGAAGCCCGGGATCGACTTCATCTTAACTCTGTCTTGGCCTTTTGAGGCATTGGATGGTGGCTGCTTCTTTCTCAGCTTTTGGACTTTTCTGTCCAGCGAAGTGAGGACCCTAAAGTCGTGCGTGAGGTGCCTTGAGGTGTTTTGGTGTTGCCCTGGGACTCCTGGCAAAGGTATCTGCTCGCTCGCGTTTGTGTGGTTAACGCGTAGACAAGGTGGAGCTGTCCAGCAATTATTTGATTACGTTGGGGAGACGGTAGGATTTAGCAGGATAGAGAAATCATTGCCTCGGGCCTGTAGTGCCGCTTGTGCAACCTTCGCTCCTTAAAAGTAGTGAGGAAGCCTCATGTTTTAATGGAGTGTCGATCTGTAACCATAGGATGCGGATGAAAAAATGCAATCCTGGACATTCCAATTTCAGATTTTCCTGCTGACCTTAATCTCTTTTTACGTCCTGTGCGTACTAAAGGGAACATTCTCAAATTATTCTCCGTGAAATTGTAGTCCTCACTTTAGATCTCCTCCCCTAAAGGAGATTTAGTGAAGCACTTTTCTCTGAGCTGCCTATGTGTTTTCACAATGCCCATTTCACCCCTGTAAATTTTAATTGCGTTGTCACCATCAGAGACCAAGTTGGTAGTAAATTTTAGAACAAAATGCAAAAAAGTTTACGGGACGCTTCGGTTGTACAAATGAAAAGTTTCAAATGGAAGCTGACCTGCTATGCTTTCGGAAAAACGGAAGGCATTATTACCTAGGCATAATGCCATTCCTTATGAACTTTCAGTACTTTTATGTAGTGAAGTTTAGTAACAGCCTCTTTTATAGCTCCATGTGCCTTTTGGTGTTTCTCTTCATAATGGCACCTATAAGTAAATAGGGATGGCTGAAGTGTTAGAAAAGCTGTGACATGGATTTATTTTTCCCTTAATAACTTATATTGTTACTAAATTTGTATGCTGTAGACAGTAAAACAGGAGACTGGAGAATTGAGAGATTTCAGAAGCAACGTTTTTGTCCGATTGGATTTAACATATTGCCGAACACATGAATGAATCTTCTTAATGGCTTTCGGACAAAGCAGAAAGGGAAAGTTTAACTTCTTACCTCAGTCTGGGCTCTTGAAGCTGTTAAAAAAGAGGCTAAGGGACAAATATGGAAAAGAGTAGAAAGCAGAACCTGCATCAGCCCACGAGAAGGGCAGGTGAATTAACCAGTTCAGTGATGACGTTAGCGTGTTAAGAAACAGGCTTTCGGAGAAGGTTTGACCTGAGCTGATTAAATCTCCAGGGAAGCAGCCACATAAAAAAGTTAGCATGGGAGTAAGAGGATGCTCATCCTCTTGTAGCCCTTATTGACATCTGAGGATTAAGAGAGAAAGGGAAAGGAGTTCTAGAATTTGCTGCTACCTTCGGGGGGGGAAAAAAACAATGTTTTAGTAAAACAAACTACCTATTGTCCACCTTTTTTATTGGGTAAATTGTTTTTCTGAACTTTCATTGTATCTGTTTCTGTTAAGTTTTTTCTACCAAAAGAAAGCACCATTATATTCTTCTACCAACAATGTTGACAATGCTCATTTCCATATTGACTGTGTCTGTCTTTTATATCTTTGACAATTTAGACAAGTGATACCTTGTTTTAATTTGTATTTCCCTGGATACCGAGATCCCTGGACAGGTAATGGAGCATAGTGGCTAAGAGCGATTCTGGACTGTAGAGCTATATACTATCTGTGTTGGAATCCCAGCCCTGTGCTCTTGGTTGTGTGGCCCTGAGCAGCTCCTTTAACCTCTGCCTCAATTTCCTCGTCTGTAAATGGGGATAAAATAGTACTTATCTCATAGGGTTGTTGTGAAGATTGAATGAGTCGATAGCTGAAGCATTTAGAAAAACACCTGATGCCTAGTAAACCTTATGTAGTAGCTCTTTTTTTTTTTTTTTTTTTTTTAAGATTTTACTTATTGGTCAGAGAGAGGGAGAGTACACCAGCAGGGGGAGGGGCAGGCAGAGGGAGAAGCAGACTCAGTCCCAGGACCCTGGGATCATGACCTGAGCCAAGGGCAGATGCTTAACCGACTGAGCCACCCAGGCATCCCAGTAATAGTTCTTATTATCATTAGAGAAGTTGCAAAATCTTCTGTTTGGCCGTTTCTTTTCCATGAATTCCTTGTTGATTTTGTTTTTGCCCATTTTACTATTGAATTTTTTACTTTTCTTACTGGTTTGTAGGTGTTCTTTATTTTAGCATCATTTGCCTGTTCTGTATGTTGAAAATATTTTCCATCAATGTATTGCTCATCTCCTATTGTGTTGAACAAATTTTATTTATTTTCTAAGAGTTTATTTGAAAGACAGCATGAACGGTGTGGGGGGGGGAGGCTAGAGGGAGAGGGAGAAGTGGACTCCCCACTGAGCAGGGAGCCCCACTGGGGGCTTGATCCCAGGACCCTGAAGGCAGATGCTTGACTGACTGAGCCACCCAGGCACTCCTGTTGAACAAATTTTAAATTACGATTTTAAATTCATCAATATTTTACATGTGGCTTCTGCATTTTATGTACTTTTTTTTTAAGATTTTATTTATTTATTTGAGGGACAGATAGCGACAGAGAGCACAGCCGGGAGGAGAGGGAGAAGCAGGCTCCTCACTGAGCAGGGAGCACAATGTGGGACTCGATCCCAGCACCCTGGGATCATGACCTGAGCCAAAGGCATCCGCTTAACGACTGAGCCACCCAGGTGCCCCAATAAATAAAATCTTAAAAAAAAAAAAAAAAAAGAGGGCGCCTGGGTGGCTCAGTTGGTTAAGCGACTGCCTTTGGCTCAGGTCATGATCCCGGAGTCCCGGGATCAAGTCCCACATCGGGCTCCCTCCTCAGCAGGGAGTCTGCTTCTCCCTCTGACCATACCCCCTCTTGGGCTCTCTCTCTCACTCTCTCTCGAATAAATAAATAAAATCTTTAAAAAAAATTTATTTGTGTGAGAGAGAGTGTGTGTGGTGCCATGCACCACACACACTAGTGCACGCACAATCAAGAAAAATGGTGGAGGGAGAGGGCGAGAATATCAAGCAGACTCCCGCTGATGTGGAGCCCAACTCAGGGCTTGATCTCTCCACCTGGAGATCATGACCTGAACCGAAATCCCCCCAGGCACCCTTGCATTTTTGTGTCATAAGAAGGCCTTTCTGACCTTGGGCAAGTCACTCAACTGTCTCTTTCCATCTGTTTCTTCAATATTCAAACAGATAAAAATCAGTATCTACTTCATAGGTTTGCAATACAGATTAAATTAATTGTTATAACTAAACAAACAAAACAAAATGTTTTTTTTTAATTTTTTTAATTTATTTATTAGTGAGAGAATGAGAGATAGCACGAGAGGGAAGAGGGTCAGAGGGAGAAGCAGACTCCCTGCTGAGCAGGGAGCCTGATGTGGGATTCGATCCAGGGACTCCAGGATCATGACCTGAGCCGAAGGCAGTCGCTTAACCAACTGAGCCACCCAGGCGCCCCAAAACAAAACCTTTCTTATCCCAAGATTAAATATTCTATGTTTTCATCTCTTTTTAATGACCTGGAATATTTTTACACAAATGATATGTGGTAGAAATCTAATTTCTTTGCTGTTTTAAAATGGTATTTAATTGGGCGCCTGGGTGGCTCAGTCGGTTAGGCGGCTGCCTTTGGCTCAGGTCATGATCCTAGGGGTCCTGGGATCGAGCCCCACATCAGGCTCCCTGCTCCATGGGAAGTCTGCTTCTCCCTCTCCCTCTGTCTGCCGCTCTGCCTACTTATGCTATCTCTGTTAAATAAATAAATAAAAATCTTTTTAAAAAAATAAATAAAAATAAAATGGTATTTAATTTTTCTATTACAAACTCCAGCCACCCAGAAATGACCTTTATTGGTATTTTAATATAGCATTCCAATGTAGCTAGTGTAATTATTTGCTTTTATAAAAATTGAATCATAAGCATTATCTTGTAACTTACTTTTTTCTCTTAATAATAAATTTACCATGTTAATAATTTCCAAAGATTTTTACTTTTAATTGCTTTTCATGACATAAATTTGTCACAGTCCTCTTACACAAGTTTTCTAGTGTAGTCTGTATAATGCACTGTTCTGCCTCTTCAAACTGCTCTTCCTCAGTATAAATACAGTTGACTTTTTTTTTTTTAAAGATTTTATTTATTTATTTGTCAGAGAGAGACACAGCAAGAGAGGGAACACTAGCAGGGGGAGTGGGAGAGGGAGAAGCAGGCTTCCCGCTGAGCAGGGAGCCCGATGCGGGGCTCAATCCCAGGACCCTGGGATCATGACCTGAGCCGAAGGCAGACGCTTAACGACTGAGCCACCCAGGTGCCCCAATACAGTTGACTCTTGCACAACACTGGTTTAAAC